ATTATTATTATTATTATTATTATTATTATTATTATTATTATTATTATTATTATTATTAAAGGCCCTGGACCAGGATTTGAACCAGGGTAACCTGCTCACAGAGAGGCAGCAGCTCTACCAGTTGTGCGACCGTGATGCTCATTTTATGGACATATAAAGCAAAATGTGTTGTTATTATTTTTTTAAGAAATAGTCTGTTTACATATTTGATAGTTCCACGCTATTTATATAAAAGCTTGTACACTTTAAAGAGGGAAATACGGTAAATAAAACTATATTCATTAGCCCTTTTTGAAAAATTTCAAATATGAGTCCTTGAAAATAATTTAAAAATCCAAAATGCACGGTCATTTAATTTAATACCAAAATTAACCTTAGGCTGAGAAGAATGATTGCATTTAATCGAGCATTGTGATTTTTCCTGAAGAAATTTTGACATCAACACCAAATTTACACCAAAACATTTTTTTTTGTTGCTATTTGTTAAATGGTAAATGGACTGTACTTATATAGCGCCTTTTTATCATATCAAGATACTCAAAGTGCTTTACAACACAATCTGTGCCTCATTTACCCATTCATAACAGCACTCTACTAGATCTATACAAAGCTAATCTGAATCTGTAGATCTGTTAGATCACATTTATACACCAATGGGACACACATCAGATGCAATGAGGGGTTCACTGTCTTGCCCAGGGACACTTCAGCATGTTACTGCTGGTGGAATCCAACCCCCAACTCTCCCATTGAAGGATGACTGCTCTAACCACTCAGCCACAGCCTCCCCATATTGGTGAATATTAGATTTGGCATTGATGTGGAATACAGAAAACTTCTTTAAGAGAGTGTGTTTTGTTGGTGAAATATTTTATTGGATTATTTTATTAACATGAAAACATAATTGTCAGATTTTATAATATACTGCATATGCACCACACAATTTGGTTGCTTCATGGTTGGTTTGTTGTTTCATGATTGGTTGGTTGATTCCTTGGGGTGGTTGGGATTTAAGTACTTTTGCTATGGCAGCTCCTAAACTATGGAACAATCTTCCCTTGAACATCAGACAGGCCTCGACCCTGTTTGTTTTTAAATCCCTTCTTTAAACCCATCGCTTCTCCCTGGCCTTAGACACCATCTGTAATGTTGACTCTTAATTATTTTAATCATGTTTTATTATTGGGGACTGCCAACCAAATGCATGGCAGGCACTTATTATTCTACACCTCGGAAGTGTGTCTACATTTCTATCTCCGTTAATGCGGCCTGAACCACGAAGTCTACCCCCACAAAAGTTATATCAAAACGACCGGCTCGGCCCCGTGATGTGTGC